TAGCACCTGTAAATAATTGGCTGCATTCACTTTTTAGTCAACTTGATGTTTATTTAAACCAAAAACTTGTATCACCACCTAATAATACCTATGCATATCGAGCATACATGGAAACCCTTTTAAACTATGTCCCTGCTGCTAAACAATCTCATCTTACTTGTAGTCTTTGGTATGAGGATACAGCAGGAAAAATGGATTCTACAGATGGTAAAAACATAGGATTTGTTAAAAGACAGGAATTGATTAGTGAAAGTAAGGAAATAGAAATGATTGGTCATCTTCACGGTGACATTTTTAACCAAGATAAATTTTTAATTAATGGTGTTGAAATGAGTGTTAAATTGGTTCGATCAAGAGAGAGTTTTAATTTAATTGTTGGATCAAACGATGTAAAGTTTAATGTTTGCATTACGGACGCAACTCTTATTGTTCGACGAGCACGAATTAATCCAAGTGTATTACTCGCACATCAAAAAGTTTTAGCTTCTACCACTGCTAAATATCCTATTACTCGAGCTGAAGTAAAAGTTTTAACAATTCCTTCGGGTGTTCAAGGAAAAACTCTTGATAATATATTTTTAGGACAGGTACCGAAAAGATGTATAATTGGATTTGTGAACAATTCTGCATTTAATGGTTCCCTTACTAAAAATCCATTTAACTTTGAAAACTATGGTATTAATTCTTTCAGCTTATATATTGATGGTCAACAAATACCTTCAAAAGCTTTGCAACCATCTTTTAATAATAGCATATTTACATCAGCATATCATACTCTATTCTCGGGAACTGGTATTCACTTTCTTAATGAAGGAAATGGAATCTCTTGTGAACAGTATGGCAAAGGTTACTGTCTATTAGCATTTGACTTAACTCCTGATTTATCAGCTAACTCATCAACTCATTGGAATCTCATAAAGCATGGTAGTGTAAGAATAGAAGTACGATTTGAATCCTCATTAATACAAACAATTAACTGTATAGTTTATGCTGAGTTTGATAATATTATTGAGATAGATAAAAACAGAAATGTTACTGTAGACTATAGTAGTTAAGGTTATAATATGTGTTGTGTGTTAGATTTTATGTGTTATGTGTAATGCATTTTGTGTGTATGTAACTATGTGAAACGTTATAAAATTAAATAAAACAAATTGTATGCAATATATTTTTTTTTATTTCTTTATAAATCTTCTATTTAATCTAATACAAAACATTGTTCGAGTTGAAATTTTACATAAGCACACTGACTAAACCACTGAACATGCTGCTGCAAAGGATCATCATCATCTTCCCAATCTTTTAAACCACCACCACAATGGAAACACTTGGTCCCGCCTGCATGGCCAGTATAAAAGAAACCAGCATCTACAAGATCTTCAGGTTTCTGTCGCATAACTAGAGGCCAGTTTTCGAAACTAAGCAAACGGCTAGATTTTGAACTGAAGAATGGATATTCAGCTCTTGAGTACTGCATACTCTTCTCGTTTTCTTCTCCACTCAGTGTTGTAGTTTTGTTATTCAATTATGTGTTTTGTACACGTATGCCACACTCATCTCTTCCTTCCGCTCTTGTCTTCCTGTAATTGAAGTAAACAGAATCACATTCACTAATGATCAGCTAATGACTGTCATTGTTAAAAAAGTATTTTTTAACTTTTTCACTTTCTGCTATTGTCTTTGTTATATTGTATACGAGGGCGTTTGTGTTGTCGTAGATGCTATCCTTATTAGTCTTTACGTAATATTTAATTCTCGTGGAAGCATGTTTCCAATGATCAGTAGTTGGAATCTTGGATAGCTTCTTCATATCGTACATTTCAATTTTGATGAGATGCGTCGCTTGGTCTCCGTCGTCAGAATTAGTAGAAATGTATGATACACCATCTCTAGCGGCTCGTGCTACGGTTGATGATAACAGCTTCCTCTTTTTTATTTTTGATTCAGCTTCAAAAAAATGATCAATCGATTGCGATTTTCTTTTTCCACCATCGCATGTGTTATTATTAATGACGAGGTTATCACTCTCTTCTTGAGGGGAGAGTGGCGAGTAGTAATACTGTTTATAGGTATCTTCATCGAAGCTCAATGATTTCTGCAACAACACAGTTATCATGTTAATATCAATTTGTTAACACTTAATCATAAAAGTTAAAAAAGTTAAAGTTACAGCCTATTAAAGTCCACTGCTGAACATAGGCCTCCTCTCATTTCTGAGAGGGTTTTAGAGCAAGGAAATGTCCGCCGCGCTCCCTCAATGTGTGTTGGCGAACTTCACATGCCTTCGAAATTTTCTCAGACATGCAGGTTTCCTCACGATGTTTTCCTTCACCACCAAGCACGTGGTAATAAGCACTTAAAATTGCGATTAACAATTTAATTGGTGCTGGCGGGGATCGAACCCGGGTCGCGTACTGTGAAATTTACAGCTAGCGCTAACCATCTGAGTTACCACGGCTTAATCATATACATACACAATATTTAAATAAAATAATACACACACATGAAAATAACAGAAAAAAAGTAATTTAGTCAATAGAATAAACACTTACATCCATAGCCTTTGGTGTATTGAAGTAACACAAATGTACTATTGATAGATCTACTGTAGTCAAACGACCGTACACTAACTCGATGACTGCGTCTGTTGGTCTTATATACCACCAGTACGTAAAAATTCTAATCTAAAGTATTTCCGTAATGAGTTGATAATTACTTTATGCGTCAACCAGTTTATCTCGCATTTCCGTTGCCTATCTCAAAATTTCTTCGTATTGTGTTTTGTTTGGTGATCAATGACTCAAGTACGATTTGTATAACACAAAAATGCAATTTAATATTTAGAAACATATCAGTTTATCTCACATTTCCGTTGCCTATCTCAACATTTCTTCGTATTGTGTTTTGTTTGGTGATCAATGACTCAAGTACGATTTGTATAACACAAAAATGCAATTTAATATTTAGAAATCACTATAATTGACCATTCCTATGTTATTCATTGAGTAGATTGGTACTGTAATAATGTACTAATAGCAGTAATATCATGGATACACTAGATGTACAACAACATCTGAAAAAGATTCACCCCAGTCTAGAAAATAATGTTTATGCAGCTAATAGACTGCCTATGTATACCCACGTACCAACGTATATAATATGCAATTTGGATACAGATGATAAACCAGGGTCACATTGGGTAGCTTTATATATCGATACGAATGACGTCGGTCAATATTTTGATTCATATGGACGATCACCTGTACGATATCATCTAGAGTTTTTAAAAAGGAATTGTAAAAGATGGAACTGGAATGTTGATAGGATTCAGAATGAGTGGACTTCAGTTTGTGGCGAATATTGCTTAATGTATTTGCTATATAAGTTTCAAGGATGTTCAATACATAGTTTTACGAGTATATTTACAAGGAACACATTGTACAACGATATTTTAGTGGATGAGATGTTTCGCTCCTATTTTATAGATAATAATTAATAAGATTTTGTATTTTATAAATAAAAATTGTAACAAAATTATGTAATGTGTTTTATTGATGATTCAGATTAGCGTTGTATAATTAGGAACAAAGAAATATAATACAATAGCACTGATATAGTCGACGCACACGCTGCAATGAAGGTGATTAATGAACAATAGAACAATAGAAATAGGAACAATGGGACGCTAATGACGGTGGAGGCCCTTACCGGATATCAATTAGATAGCTAATTGATCTACACATCTCCGGAACCGTGCATTCTACACAAAAATGGATGATCGTGCATTCGTGATCAGAGCATGCCAAAACCTTTTTTTTTTTTTTTTAGGATCGGGTGTCGACTAACGTCGTTGAACCACGTCTGACTCAGGTAGTCTAGAAGTGGTACAACTACACAACTTATTACCCGCATTACTACTTACATTTAAATGTCTACTTTGTGATTCTTTTTGTATTACTCGAGAAATATATTACAACAACACAACTACACTACTGTAATATAAAAATAATGAAAACACAAAAAAAACATTCATTCCCTACACAGTTTAAGAATTTTCACAATTTAAGGGATATATCATTTAACAAAAATTATGTATCCTTTTCGTGAAAGGAAGTTTTATGTATCCTTTTCGTGATCCCACTTCTGAACTATTGGAGTTAACGAAAATTCATACAACGAGTTTGATTTTCCTCAACAAATTTATTAGTTCTTCCGCTTACACTTTATTATCGAACAATCCAACAATATAATTATTGATCAAATTCGGCGTAACGTCCTAATTAAGCGTCCTTCACTGTTAAATGCCGACGAGCGAATGACTATCCCGGTATCGTTTCACAAGTCATGTCTTTACCTTTCCGCATAGCCGGAAACGGTAAATACACGACGGACCGGATGTAGTCTTACAATGTTTTTCTTATTTTACGAAAGTTGTATTAAATTTCACAAAAATTATATTAGCTTAATTATACAAGGATTTTAATTAATTATATTTATAGTGATTCGAAATTTTGAATAAAATCAATAGCTTGAGATTAATTAACCACCGGAAATGGCAATTTATATTATTTAGAATAAGGTAATCCCTAACAGTACTGTGTGCTCATTCGTCATCCTTATTTTTAAAAAAAAAGTATCCGGTGATAGTTTGAAACCCTGCAAGGGTTAATAAAATATAAGGGTTAATAATAAATATAAAAAGCCAACTTTTACGTCTTTTATTTGTCACCGTTTACAAATTATTCATTTTTTATAAGATGATAGCATAAAAATACGAAGAAAACTTTTTTTTAATACGTCACTTTTTGTGACACATTCGAAGTTTTGAATCTAATTTACAGTTAGAAATTGCTTATTTGTTAAGGCGTACTTATTTACAATTACTTTAAAAATAAGATAGAATTTAATGTGTGGTAGTGATTTTATGTTTAATTTGGGAAATAAAATCAACGGATATTATTTTTTTTTAAATTTAATTTATGTCTCAATTAATATCCTTTTCAAACTTTTTCTTTTGACGTAACATTAGTCCCCCACAGTAGTGAGTTGACGCGCCATTGACCGTAGTACATTAAATATAACGTTATGGCAATACCTATGAAAATCATTGGGAAGTATATGGACCCATAACAAATTTTTAAAATGGGATAAGGCCATATACCACGTCGGGCGAATGTTGAGAATAATCTGAAAGAAAAAAACATTATAAATAAGGAATTCATAATAAACAATGGGTATGTATGATATTATATCGACATGTGGCTACTAGAGGCCACAAGTAGAGGCGGATTTACAAAGTTTTTGAAAGAGAACTTGACGCCTGGTTTTTTGATATCCATCCTTATTGAAGTGAGATAATATTGCGGTACATCTTGCATCCAATAGGTGTTGACTTAAAAATATCGTGTTTTAAAGTTATTTTAAAACAAAAATTTTCGTTTTCATAATCTTGCCAAGCATCCAGATGATGTTAATGATATCGTGAATTTGGCGCGATGTGTGATGGTGAATGAATGATGGTGGTGGAATTTGGTGGCTGAAATTAATGTAAATAATTTCTCTGAGCACTCCCCGTGGTAAATACAATTGTGTATTAATTTAAAATGCAAATGGATACAATGTCTCTTCGCAACACCAAGAAATCGACTGATCAGAAAGAACTCAGTCATAGACGATTCATCTTAGTTCTTAGGGTTGAAAACGCCTCTGCATTTTGATTCTCAATCGAGGATAGATGCTGATGTCTATTCGATTACCATCAGGTGGTATGTGTGCTCATTTGTCACTTTCCCTATGTATATAAAAAAGTAATTTGGAATACGAGTAGATTTAGCTTAGCTACTTCCGTCATAACTTTATTTTGGAACTCAAGGATGTGATCTCGATCTAGATTCTCGCTGGCACGTCCCGTATCAAAAGCATTACTGAAGCTGTCATCTGTATGGCAATGAAAGTTACTGGATTGCAACATAATATCATTGATATGCAGCAGAAACAGCGTAACGAAGTTACTCCTTTTTAAAGGCTCGCAACGCAGCTGCAATTCTTCTGGTGTTGTAATTGTACATGGGCGACGGTCGACACTTACCATCATGTGAGCTGCATGCTCGTTTGCCCTGTCTTCTATAAAAAATGTAGGTGATAGCACGCAGTCTTATGAAACACTAGCAATAATAAGCCTGCATTCGGAGCGTACACCGTCCACTACGACCTTGATGCTTTAATCTGCAAGAAAACTTGTGAGGAAGCCCATAGGAAGGATTATCAAAAGAAGCGCTTTGTGCTAAACCCGATGGAAACTATCGCCAAATTCAAACTAACCACTAATGCTTATAATCTATTGTCTAGGCTCATCTATGAGTAACGCCAACGGAAACCGTATTTGTCAAATGGTCTTTGAGGAACCTCATGAGCTGGCAGTTTATGATTGATTCCATTATTATAGAAACCAAGAAAGTGATGACGATAGTCGGACAGGTCTTAGCGATCACTTTTCTTAATAAAACCAAACCCTGCCTTATAATCCTGCATAATAAAGTAGAGATGGGAACGAATAAGCACCTCTAATTTTCTACTTATTTATGTATGTTGAATGAAAATTACAATGTTAGAAAAATGACAAGGTGAGAATTACGACTAAGAATTAAATTATGTTATGTGACATCACATAGAAAAAAACTATATAGTCCGTGGATATTTGTAGTCAACTTTAAACCTATAGGTATTCTGTTTCGTCACTACTGAGAACTAACAACGAATTCGTTAAATCCTTAGATTACATCTAACTCTATTTCAATTCAAACTGGAACAAAACAACGAATGCATTGCTGCTTGATACCGAAAATGCTCAAAACTGCTCAAGGACCAAACAATGCAGGTTATATAAATTACTTTTAATAAAAAGTAAAAGCTAAAGTAATAAGGAACTAAAAAGAATAAAATAATTTAACATGTAAAGTCATAAAACATAGAGTATAGAAGAATTAAAGCCGTCATTTCTGAAAGTGAAATAATTATTGTATTATTTTTAGTTCTTTTACCTTTAATAAAAATTAATATTTTTTTTATCCTTTTGAGCGAACTAAGGAGTATCAAAATCTCACTGTCGTCTAAATAGTAACGTTAAACATTAATAAACATTTCTTTCATTATTTTGATAACCATACAAGCAGAATCTTTTTTCCAATCTTATATATGTATATATTTATTTTACTCCTGAAGTATTGACCTATTTAAATAAAAAAGAAACATTAAAATCTGTTCACAATCAACTATCGCTTAACATAAATATCAAGTCAAATTGTAGACTTAGTCCTTTTTTTAAAGTCAGCTATAAAGTAAACACATTCCACTGCCAGGTGCGGCCTTCTTTTATTTCTGAGGGTGCTTTGAAGCAGGGAAGAGCCTGGCACGATTCTCCGATGTACTAGCAGATTTCACGTGACTTCAAAATATTTTAAATTATTCAGACTTCAAAGTATGAGCACATTGGCAGAATTGTAGAGAAATTAGTTCGCCTTCCTTTGGGAACTCGTGCATTCTGGTCTCTCGTCAAAGCTGTTCAAGGGAATTTCCGTAAGCCATCACTACCATCTCTGTACAGGGAGGACGACTCATTTTCCCACGCCGCAAAACAGAAAGCCGACCTTTTAGGCTCCCTTTTTGCTTCCAACTCGACTCTCGAACACACCAGATGGTCACGGGGGAACACACCGATGACCATCCCGCAGTGTGAGTGCTCTATGCCTATGTGCGATTTACACAGTGCTCAGTACGCAAAGCGCTCCTCTCCCTAGACATCTACAAGCCGAGTGGGCCTGACGGAATCCCACCAATTGTGCTGAGAACGTGCGCTTCAGAGTTGGCATCGCTCCTAACACGTCTTTTTCGGTACTCCTATTCCCTAGGCGTTGTACCGAATTCATGGAAGACAGCATTCGTGCACCCGATACCTAAAAAAGGTAACAGCTCTGATCCTTTCAACTACAGGCCTATCACCATCATCTCCTTGTTCTCAAAAATAATGGAATTCATTATTAACTGCCATCTGATGCGGTACCTTGAGGAGCACCAGCTGATTAGTAAACATTAGTACGGTTTCTGTCGGAGTCGCTCAGCTGGTGATCGGCTTGTTTACCTAACACATAGATGGGCGCAGGCGATCGAGTCCAAGGGAGAGGCATTGGCCGTTAGTTTGGACATAGCGAAGGACCTTGATCGGGTCTGGCACAAAGCGGCTTCCCGAGAAATTGTGCAATTGTAGTAGATGGTGCATGCTCCAATTACAAGCCTATTAACGCTGGTGTTCCACAAGGCTTCGTGCTATCACCAAAGCTGTTTCTTCTGCATATCAATGATATGTTGCAAACCAGTAACATTCATTGCTATGCGGATGACAGCACTGGTGATGCTCTATACACCGGCTGTGCCAATATTTTTCGGGAAAATCTCGCCGAGTAACGGAATAAACTTGTGTGTGAAGTCGAGTCTTTGCTAGACAAAGCCTCGGACTGGGGGCCACTAAATCTAGTCCAGTTTAATCCTCAGAAGATACAAGTTTACGTGTTTACCGCTGAAAAGAACCCCTTTGTCGTATATCATCAGTTTCAAGACATATCGAGTGACGTGGAGCTTCGTGGTCACTTGGAAGAGAAGGCCAAATTGGCCTCTAAAAAGCTTGGCGTGCTCAGCAGAGCAAGACAGTGTTTCATGGTAGCACATCGCTTGCAACTCTACAAAGCGAAAATTCGGCCTCACATGGAATACTGTTCTCATATCTGGGCCGGGGCACCCCAGTGCCAGCTCCTTCCACGTGAACGCATCCAGCGCAGAGCGGTTCGAGTTGTCGATGACCGAGTTCTTTCTGATAGGATCGATTCACTGGCGCTGCGTAGGGATATTGCATTCCTTTGAATTTTCTATCGAATCTACCACGGGGAGTGCTCTGAGGAATTGTTCGGATTAATTCCAGCCACCAAATTTCACGAATGCACATTGCGTCAAAATTCACGATACCATCCTCACCATCTGGATTCTTGGCGGTCCACCACTGTGCGTTTTACTAGGAGTTTTCTTCCTCGTACAACTTCTCATGTTTTCTCTTGTTGGGATTGTTTACCACCGGAGATTTTCCCGAACCGATAAGACTTAGGGACATTCAAGAAAACAGCTTACTCCTTTCTGAAAGGCCGGCAACGCACCAGCAATTCCCTTGGTGTTGCGGTTGTTCATGGGTGGCGGTAGTCACTTACCATCAGGTGAGCCGCATGCTCGTTTGCCCCATCTCCTATAAAAAAAAAATGTACGACGTTTCCCCTCGAGGTCGAATCCGGGTTGCTCGCGTAGTATAAAATTTAGAGCAAGCACTTAGTGTTTTAGCTACTTACGTGTCTCATACTCCTTAAATTTTATACCTACTAGCTTTTTGCTTTTTAAATGAGAACATAACAATAGATGCGCCGTACACTACTGCTTAGCGGTGGATAAAGTGCCCAAAGACTAACAATTAACATTTTTAAATTACTAAAATAATAATAGTCATACTTACACATATAAATAAGTTATGAAGCATCCGTAAGTGCCAGCTAAATTCCACTTGTGCGATTTAGGTTCACTTTTGGGTAGGAAAGCTAATTCCCAGAGAACTATAGGGACTATAGCCGTATGCATTATATGGTTGGATTCTTGCCTTATAACTTTGTCAATAAATGCCGGAAATATCATTTCTCTGTCGTATATATATATTGACCAGAATATTATAAATATCGCCTGAAAACGCATAATAGTATAAGTTATTATGTAATGTAAAAGTTCAGCTCATAGGCATTCTATTGCTGGGTATAATCCTCACGTTTTCTTATGTTAGGTTAGGTTTCTGATTTAGCCTTTTATTGGAGTAAAGGTGACAATGACAAATTATTACATAGTCCACCTCATAGGATGTGTATGCCGCAGCCCAAAGATACCTACATATTCAATCAATTCAATCAAGTTCGAATCCACCTTTCGATTTCGATTTCTGTAGTGAACCGCTCAAAGAACAAGTATTTAAGGATAGTTGAAGTAGTCAATGAGGATATATTATTTTTATTAAAAAATATTTAAAAAACGCTATTAAAATATTAGCGAGCGTGTTCCTTGCCTGGTCGTGCCTACCCGTACGTAAATATAATATATACGTACGTAATGCAACCATAATAAGCTGCAGCGTAGCTCTATCAGTCATTAGTGCTTTTGCATTTTTTAATACTTGTTTCTTTTTTGTTAACAACAATCTGTGTTTCCGGTGCAGTGTTACTTTTACAATTTTGTAGATTTATTGTACGGTAAATTTCACAATTATGTGATTGACAATGAAAACTGTCACAATTATGTGAGTGACAATTATGTCACTATCTACAAATTTGTTGGATTGTAACGTCTATTAAATTAGAACTCTGGTGTTATACGAGAGCGTAGTAACTTCCAAGTCGAGTCGAACCATTCGTGCTGCAGTTATGGGATCTATCAGACACATGGCGTTCACGTGTTCAAGCGTTCCGCGTTCGTGTTCTGCGTTCGTTGTGTTGTATTACGTTACATAGACGTACCCAGATAGCAGGTGTTCTGACCGCGTCGGTCAACCAGATCGCTCGCGTTCGCGCGTCCACTGCTGATTCGGTGTCCACATCGGGAAGGAAGATGGAGATTGAGAAGTTGATTATGTTATTACGACGAAAATATTTTTATATGGTGTGAAGAATGATGATTATAACAACCGAGCAATAGTAGCAAAAGCATGGTTAGAGTAATTGCCAGAAATGGGGACTGACATTGAATTATTAAAAATTTCTTCATTAGTAAGGAATTTACAAAATAGTCAATGAAATTCTCACACCCAATGGTTCATTTTACTTTTTGATGCTGCTAATGTACACAATATCAATAATTCGTTTTCCGACGAAGAACTACACTCAATAAAAAGGTGACTGTAGTGGCACCACGTAGACCGTCCAACAGCGGGATTCGTGACCAATTGAACTCTCGAACGCAGAACGCGTACGCGCAACACGTACGCGCAACGCATACGCGGAACGATTGACCGCGTGACCGCTTTCTGCGTGATAGAACTCTATTAGCATCAGACTTGCTAATAGTTAGCATAAGATAATTTTGGTTATTTAACTTTAAGAAGTTGTAATTGTTGTAAAAACGATATGGAATAGATACGAAATAGAAACTTACAAAACCGAATGGTAAAATAATAGTAGTGAACAACACTTCACGATATGATTTTAGGTTTTTTGTGAGCATTGGTTCCTTAACCTCGAGTGTTGTTGGTAAATCACATAAGATTCCTAGAAAGGAGTATATTATCTGAAAAACCTGAAACAAAATAACTTATATAATTAAAAAACAATGTTAGGCTAAGAAATGTTTGGGTAAATTGTATCCGGCTCGAAAGACCATAAAGCTGCACGATTTATACATCTGATCACCTAGGATAGTGATAAATTCAACAGACTGATAGAAAAAATAGGATCCATGTTTTCCAACAGTAAATGTGGATAATAATTGCCACAAGAACAAATACGCGGTAAAAACGTGAAATAAAGACACTGCTAAACTAAACTGTAAAACTTATGCACTGACTAAAATGCTGATCTCAATATGTACGGTTGCAATGTACAATCAATTTTATCACACATAAACGGGAAAACAGTTTTTAATTTATTTAATATTTTATATTATAGATGTAGTACTTCTTTAATCAAAAACAAGTTTTTATACTACCCAATTGATTGTCGACTCAGTTTTATCGACTATCGAATCAAACTAACAGTCCACCTGATGTGTGTCTCCTGCGGTACACTAGCAGTCAACTTCAAACAAAGAAGGCTAAAGATGCGTTGTGGTCTCTTACGAATAAAATGAAATGTGTAATAGCCTGTAACCATACTGGCTCTCTATAACGTTTAGACCGGAACGCAGCAGTACAGACGCTACTATTTGGCAACACTAATAGGCAGAAGAAGCATGAGAGTAGAATAAATGCTGTAGAAATGCGGTCCCTAAGGAGTATGCCAGGGCTGAATCTGAATGAAAGGGTGAGAAATAGTGTGATAAGAGAAAAATGTGGTGTACAAGACGACGTTGTGACAAGGATTAAGAAAGTAATGCTTCGGTGATTTGGTCATGTAGAAAGAATGAACGAGGAAAGAGTGACAAAGCAAATTTATGTTGCAGAAGTGAACGGCAGGGTCGGGAAGGGACGCCCTAGACGAAGGTTTATCGATCTAATCGGCGATACATTAAAATGGGCCCGATTAGGAGTACCCTTAATCGACGAGCGTGTATGCGTAGATATATGGATGTAAAGGAGGCTAGAGAGGTGTGTCAGGATCGCTCCAAATGGAAGTCCGTAGTCTCTGCCTACCCCTCTGAGTGCCAGGCGTGAGTGTTTTTGTGTTGTGTGTAATAGAGAAGATGGCTTTGCCCACCAAGACGAACTTATAGGCAAAAAATGAAGAGACAAAAAAGAAAAAGATTGTGCTTAGGTACGTCAATGAACTAGAGGCTACGTCTGTTTTCACTATTTACGATGACTATTGTCCTTTTTTTTTACTGTTTTTCTATGAGAATACCGAATCGAAGCGACTTTTTCTCTAAATTCCAATCTCTCAGTCAGTTAATTGATATCTTTGGAACGAAGTTCCTTATCAGACGGTATGAGTTTGGCGGATGGGGGGTAGGCGATGAAAAGTGTAAGTTTTTTCCGTCACAACCCCTTCTGACGTGGTGTAGACGGCCTTGGCGGCTATAAGGAAGCGAGATGGAATAATATCCATCTCCCTCGCACTTTTTCTTATCTTGCCATGAAAGTAATATTATTGCATTTTTAATGACGCTTTACTTTAATAGAAGCTAGTATTAGTTTATTTGTTTTTGTTAATTAATAATATAATACGTTTATCAATAATAATATACCACGAAAGGAACTTCGTTCCAACCGAGTGTTCCACGACACTTAGCATGTTTTTTTTTATTCATTCTTTTAGCAGAGATACTGGTTGCCGACTAATAACGGAAAAGTTATTTAATACACTGAATTAAAATTTCACACGTTGATTGTGGGAAGTAACATAATCAAGGTAAGTATATTACTTATCCGCTTGCCTAGCGTGGTAAGGGCCATTTTCTCATTTCATTCAATTCATCAACTCATCGCAGCCGGAGCATTTTGGTAGCTACCACGGTTCTCAAAAATATTCATATACACACAGCTTTATGCATACACGCTACACGGATATGCATATTATATACGCTTAGAGCTTGCGCACACCAACTAGTTTGTACCGTAAAGGTGAATTATCCGATATAATATAAATAACTTTATTTATTTTCATGCATACACATAACATATATTATGCATATATAGACTTAAAAGGAATCTTAAAAATGCTTATACATAGATTTTAACTTACCACGTTCCAAATGGTGATGTACACCCACTGTAAAGAGTAGAAAGTTTCTATCTCAGGGTCCTTCATGCTATCGCCTTGCAACGCGAAAAGCATCGTTATTACATTGCCTCCGTGTAAAGCAAGTGCAGTGATGTAGCCAAAAAGTCGGTAGTAGGCGTAATTATTTATAGGCCTAAAAATATAAAAGGGTTAAATTAAAAAAAAATATGTTGAGACACGCGTTATGTTAGGATTTCCGTTGTCGATTATCGCTATATTTTTAAGTAAAAACAGTTATAGTGTTCGCTATATTTTCATTATACATTTTTACTATTTGCTTCTTTAATTTTTTTTTCTAAATTTTAAGTTGCATTATTTGCAAAGATAATGTGTGTTGGGAGGGGAGGGGACACAATGTAGTCTCTTAAAAGGTTACATATTTCGAAAAATTAGCCTAATTACATTGATATATACAATTCAAATATACAATATTGCTTTCTTTAAAAAAAATTGCGTATCTCTAAAAAGTATCTTCTGCGTTACTTTCTGCGTCACTTCAAAACTCTCCATGGGTGAAGCTTCTACAGAAAACCTTCTAATGACGGCTCCGTGGCGCAGTGGCTTAGCAATGGAGTTGCAGCGCCAAGGGCCTAATTCGTTTATGAAACCTATGCAGACGAAATTGTTAGCCTTGTTAATGTAGTACATGTCACAAATTGATATCATCGCAAGGACACAACAAATTAACTATAAAGGATGAGTAAGTTAAATAATAATATAGTTTTAAAGTTCTATAGGAAACAAAAAAAATATGATTTATTTTGGTATTAATTCTTCGACATTTTTTAATAAGAATTACAACGTTCTTGTGAAACCTATAAGGGAGAGAGAATTAACTATAGATTTAACATTATTACTAGATATTAGGAATCCACAACCTCATTACATCTCGCGAGTGTCGTTAGAGGCGCCTATGGAATATAATATACCAGATATCGTTTACGCCAGTCGCAAAATCCCCGGATCCGCAACGAGGAACAGTGTTAAAAATGTAAAACTTCTTCGACCCACCGGCGAAGCCTGGCGATTAAAGTAAATGCCACCTGGCAGCTTTGGACTCAGTGGAGAGACGTGCTAAGGGGCTCATTGGTGACCTTGATTTGGTTGATACCCATCTTGTCAGCCTCGAGCACAGGCATAGAGTAGCCAATTTCTCGGTATTCTATAGAATGCATTTCGGTGAGTGTGCCCAGAAATTAGACGCTTTAATTCCTCCCTCTCCTTTCCACCATCGGACAACCAGGCGGTCGGCGGGTCTACTACCTTTGTTGTCGATATTCCACGCATTAGAACCAAACGGTTTCCTTCGTCTTTTGTAATGCGTACAGCAAGGGAGTGGAATAATTTGCCGGCGTCAATCTTTCCGTCTGAATACAATCTGGGCGTCTTCAAGGCAAGAGTGAATAAGCTTTTGTTAAGATAAAACAGTGCGATTTACCATCTAAGGCTACCACTTACCACCAGGTGGGATTGAGGTAAAGCAGTGGACTTTTTTACTGTATAAGATTCTTGCTCTTTCAGTGTTTTTCTACGTTGTCAGTTTGGATATTTTAAGTTTCTTAATGTTAAGGAATCTACTAAGCAGGGCTTATGAATCTACTAAGCAGGACAATGGAAGGTATAAGATTAATTAATTAAAGTTAAAAAAGTAAAAAAAGAGGCTATGTAGGTTCCACTGCTGACCTCAGACCTCCTTTAGTTTCTGAAGCGTTTTAGACAGCGCCGTATTAACTTTTTGATGCCCTAGGTTTTTACAGTAAATGATGCCCTAGTCAGTTTATATTGGTTTCCTTTTGACTATCAACTTGCATAGTTATTAGATATTAATGAATATACGTGCAATATGAAATATAAGAAAAACATTGCGAATATTGATCTTATATACAAATTTACAATTATCGTATTATTTTTCCATTTTGAATTATGTTTCATAATAAATCAAATCTAAATGCATTTAGTGCATTTGTAATAGCGAGAGATTCATTTCTGTTTTGATTGACTAGTAAGTAACATGCATATTTTTCAATAATAAAATATATAATTTTTTATCAGAAGTTTAATAACCGATGCTCTGTCTGCGGTGGTGCCCTAGGCAACTGGATTTGGTGAACTTCACACATGACACCTAGTATTTCTTATTATAAATCCATCACTGGTTTTAGGTAATTTCACACTTGGCGGTCTTTACATGACTTCTAAATTTCGAATTTTTTTTTTATAGACATGCAGGTATTTTTCGCGACGATTTATTTCATCGGCGAGCATGTGGTAAATCAGAAATTGAAATAGCAATTAATAATTTCATTGTGCCGATGGGGACCGAACCCACGTTTGCTTGCGTGCAGTGAAATTCATGGCGAGCGTTTTTAGGGTTCCGTAGTTAAATGGCAAAAAAGGAACCTTTATGGATTCGTCATGTCTGTTTGTCTATCCGTCCATATGTCACAGCCAATTTTTTCCGAAACTATAAGAACTATGCTGTTGAAACTTGGTAAGTAGATGTATTCTATGAACCGCATTAAGATTTTCACACAAAAATAGAAAAAATATCAATAAATTTTGGGGGTTACCCAAACTTAGCACTGAAACTCGAATTTTTTTTTTCTATTAAAACCATATGTGTGGTGTATCTATGGATAGGTCTTCCGAAATTGTGTAGAGGTTTCTAATATCATTTTTTCTAAACTGAATAGCTTGCGCGAGAGACACTTCCAAAGTGGTAAAATGTGTGTCCCCCTGCAACTTTTAAAATAAGAGAATAATAAAACTAATAAAAAATATATGATGTACATTACCATGTAAACTTTCACCGAAAATTGGTTTCAACAAGATCTAGTAAGTAGTTTTTTTTAATACGTCATAAATCGTAAACCGCAATTTGCCTCTCATTCAATCAACTCAAAATAAAAATAATAAAAATAAAAAATACACTATTATTAAAACATCGATTAAAGTTACAACGAACTACAAGAAATTTTATATTATGTTACTTGCTGCTACGGAACCCTTCATGGGCGAGTCCGACTCGCACTTGGCTGCTTTTTTTTAACTTATTACTTACCCCATATTAAATAATAAAATTCTCAAGGATAAGCTTCAATCTGGCAGATATGAGTTTAACTTCATCAGCTGATGCGTATGTAGAATCTAGAAAGCCTAAAATAAAATTGAAACTAGTTAATTTTAGAAACAAGTACCTAATAATATAATAATTAATGTTAATCCATTTACTATCGGAGGGACTGTGTGCTCGCTTGTCACCCTTGTTCTATAAAAAATACATAACATATTATTATGATATTTTATATCGAAACATATTTACGCAATAAGGATCCGAACTTTGTGGTATTGTTCTCTATGTTTCAACACATTAAGAACAAATTAATATTAAATTAATTATTTGTTCCCAGTTTTTAACGTTTTCTACTGCGACTATTGTTGGAATTAGCTAATTAGTTAAGTGTAGAGCATAAGGAATATTTTCGGTTACATAGATGATTTATGTAAAGTAATGTTGGTCGAATTGTATTGTTGAAAGGAATATTCATGTTTAAAAGAAAATCAAGGTTAATTTTACAAAAGTTGAAAACATAAAGTTTGCATTTCATAACAAAATAATTAAAAATGGTCAATCAACATGTTTCAGTTCCATTGTTTACAGCAGATAAAATCATTAATGTATTGTATTTTGCTGCATAAAACGGAGAGAAATAGTTTGTACACTTTTCCCCAAATATTAACTTAACCTGTATAACAATAATGTGCTTCAGAAATAATTTTAGTCAAGGAGGCCTGCTGCAAAGGAGAATCTGCGTAAGACAGGATTGTAGTGCACGAGTATGTGCACTAACACAGGTGCAGCCTCTATACATCACCCTAAAAGTCCGATAGAACGGCAATCCGACACGACCGGAGAGATATCAAGTGCAGCACCAACGACTTTACGTGCTATCCGAGGCATGGCGTGAAACGCTTCCTGACTTCGGAATGAGAAGTTCTTGACAGATGATTTAGTCCTGACCTGGGATTCGAACTCAAGTCCCCATGATCAGCAGTAATATATTTGTTGTTGTTATATACCCATATAACAACGGCTGAGGTTTTGCTTACCGGAAAAACCATCCAAAACTCTGAATCTAAATCGCGCACTGTTACCATTGTGAGGATAACGACTCTTTACTTACGAACTTCTTTACCCAGTTGTTGAATAAGGGCAAACCTTCCAAAATACGTTCATAAGGTTCTCTATGTAATATAAAATTCAACAATCTAGCCACTGATTCGATAATCGATAAACTTACGTTAAGTTGTTAAGTTGTCAAAATTGCCTAAATTTATCCTTTAATCAGTTACATTTGTGAATGATTAAGAATACAGTTTACTGTTTTACCACGTTTAAATTAACTCGATTTCGTGTATGTCTGTTCAGGCCGAATTAAGTAATTTGTTTTAAACTAAATTCCCGATGAGCTAAAGACTTGAAATTTTGAACATAGCTCTGAATCTATAAAATAAATATATTTAATAAAGAATCTTAATATAATAATAAATATACAAACTATAGAATAAATTAAAAAAAAAAACAGGCCACAGTCGTACGTGTGCCTGCTGTACATAATTATGTGAAAGGAGTCACATACAAGATCTGCCACATCTTGAAGCGAGCTTCCATAAGAACATACTACAAGCCTCCAAAGAAGATTAGTCAGTTCTTACTATCCGTCAAGTGTAATATTATTCTACAAGATACAGGAGTGTACAAATCAATTGTGAATGTGGTCTATTGAAATTTAAAAAAAAAATCCTAATTTTAATAGAGAAGATGTATGGGTGCTACCATATTCTTGGGATCCCATAATTAAAAAAAATCCAAATCCAAGCATACTACTGAAAGACTTCAGGATACTGTAAGCTCATTCTGCGTAAATTAGAACAAAAATTAATAATTGTGATCTGGAGGTAGTCGTGGTTAACTATGACATTTGGACGTCAAACACCTGTCCCCGCCGTGACCATGGGTACTGTAAAGTGTACGAAACGTCGGGAATATAAAATAAGTTAATGTACGCGATAAATTCCGTAAAATATGGTTTTATTTAAAACGATTTTAAATTTACATAAATAACCTTGATTATGAAATTATTTATTTAGATAAGGGTTAATACCATGATGCGAAGTTTCTAGCTGTGTATTAATTTAATTTTGGAACACAAAAGCAGTTATTGTTACTTAACTCTTTGATATTTTGTGTCGTGGACTTGTTTGTGGATTGATACGTTCTATAAACGTCGAGTACATAATTTTATTCTACCATCAACACTTTTTGTATATATATATTAAAAGTTTGGTTCAAGAGGACGTTATATAATTTGTAATTTTTAAACTGCACACCAAAATATTATAAATTTCATATTTATATGAAACTGCAAACCTGAATATTATATTTTTGGGCGACTTCCATAATGTCTAAAAAAAAAACACAAAAACAAAACAAGTCACAAAGCAAAATAAATGGAATAAATTACAAGTAATATTAAACAAACCACTACTTTACCGAGAGTCTAATTAGTACTAATGAAATTCTAAAGCTAGTTGATCTTAAATTACCTGTAAAACGTGACTGCTTGTGATGACGTGTTCGATATATACTTCATATTACATTTTCGTGCTCAAACTGTTGGTAGTTGGAAACTTATAAGAAATATAAAATATTTTTATTCTAGTTATAATTGCTAGAATCTTTCGCTGGGAATATTCACTATGTAATCGAATCTCCACTGAATGTCTAGGAAGGCACACATACACAGACTAATTAGTGGGGCTCTTGAGATATATAGATTTTATATTTCGTTGAATTATAATATAATATTAAATGTATTTTTAATTTGCTCTTAGGAGATAAACCTTTGAAATGACTTTATAATATTTTAATACATGTAGTGTGGATTTGGTCCTTCGCGTTTAATTCATACCTAATTTAATTTAACCATTAAGTCAGTTATGTAAATAACTATTTAATCGCACCGGTGCAGCAATACGATAGGCCATGCACAAAGTATTGAAAAAAAAAACAGTTTTGTATGAGACTTTGGCTAGTTAAATTTTAATCAGAAAAATAACAATGTTTTATCATAGAGCAACAAATGCCACTGGCGGACCGTGTTGCTCTATGTGTTTTATTAAAAAATGGATATCTGACGGAAACATTTTCGCGTTTTGATTTTTTACGGTTTAAAAAGTCACTTAAACCGAACAATTCATTTGAGAGACTTCAAATATAATTTATGGATAGAGGCTCTCCTAAGTGCTTTTTGACACGACCCGGTTGCCAGGTACGGGCGTAATTTGTCCGGCAATCGATCGCTGGGTACACGCCGGATCCACCACTGTGCGTCAGGTCACTATCTAACGGTTACCCAGCAGTCGAAAGCACAGTGGTGTATGGAATCGCACCTGCTTCCATACATATACGCACCAGTCGTCCATGTAGAACCATGGAGAGAGGACGCTACTGGATACAAAATTGTCTCGTGTGAAAGACACTAAGGCAACCGTTTACCACTGCTGTTACAAATTTCAGCAAGGCATTAACGTTAAAGTCTGATTTATACTAAGTGTTGAAAAAGTGAAAACACTTACTTAATAAAGTAATTAAAAAATTAATTAATAATTAATTATTTAATCACTTGACTACTTAATATATTAAAGTCAAATCATTAAATAATTAATTATTAATTAGTTTTTTAATTACTTTATTAAGTAAGTGTTTTCACTTTTTCAACACTTAATATATGTCAAGTTTATTGGTGAGTAGACGATAAACAACGAATTGTTGTTTGTCAAACAAGGACTTGTCATTTCTAACTAATCATGTACAAAGAGATTTAAATATATAGGTATACTAACTACTTAAATGTCTTTGACTACTTAAATGTCTTTGACTACTTAAATGTCTTTGACTACTTAAATGTCTTTGCTCATGAATTACACGCAACATCTTTCTCTAAGTTTGTCTCCTTTTATTATTAAAATTTTAAATTTAAATTACTTAAAATTAAATTAGAAAAAGAGAGACAATTTTGAGTCCCTTTATCTGGAAGATAAAACTAGAAGCCTGAATTTTCAGTAACCAAGTAGGCATTGTATAATCTCGGTGTATTTCAAATTTCATTAAATTTGAACCAGTTGTTTAAGAGTTATAACTAGTCAAAGTTTCTTTATTTTGTCACTCATTGACTGACCGATCATCAAAACTCTAAGGCACTTCTAGCAGACATAGAAGCTTCAAATTTTGAATACAATTATTGTTTAGTACATAAATCAAGGCAAAACTAAAATATTTTGCAATTTCGGTCCAGTTTTCGAGATACACCAACTGCATAAATAACTTTGTAATCCCATATCAATATATAGGATTACAAAGTTCCATTTGCAGTGAATGAATCAGTGTACCTATATAATATGTATAATATAATAGAATAATAGATGTAGATAGGTACCTAGATATAACTATCTACAAAAGAAATGAGATGCCATGAAAAACATAACTTGTAAATAAAACCAAGTCTCGTAACTCAGTTCTTCTACCGTAAAAAGTTGTGAGATCCATGTAATACCAAGTCGGTTAATTTATTCAGTTCCTACTTAAGGGTCCTTCTGTCTTAAGTTATTACGTAATTAGCTAACCTAACAACATCTTATAGTGACCATATCAATATTAAAAATCTTTTATGTTTTGAATAGATTTTATGTCTCTATAACCAAGTTTAAATATTTTCTCAAACAAAACCTTTATGAAAAGGTAATTGCAATATGTAAATTAATACATAGTTTATAATAACACCTGGGAACGAGGTGGTCGCTTCCTAGCTTTATTAAATAAGTATTGTAAGTTAATTTTACAGCCTTTGTTCTTTATTATAAGTACAGTGAAACCTGGATAACTGGGACCGTAAGGGACCTGCAAATTTGTTTCACTTAAATAGGTATTCCACTTACCCAGTGTCTCAGATATCCAGGTATATATAAATATCTGTCTCATTTACAAAGGGTTTCTATAATAGAATCCATTAATTAACAATAGAGGTTATTTCAGTTATAGAAGAACGTATTTTGTAAACATTATACACGAGTTGTAATCTTTATTAACAATCAAATAAGCCATAAAATAAAAATAATTAAGCACGATTTTAGCACATTAAATTCGACTTTTTTGCAGCGATATATTGATGTAAATGAACACCATTTTGAAAAAATATAATAAAACTAATAACTTGCTAGTTTGTTCAGTTCTTCATTTTCTAAGAACTTTCAGTGTCACCCTCGTATAGCCCTCCTCCAGATTTTTCCGCTTTTCCCTATCCTTGGCCACTGAAATCCAATCGTCTCCAGCAAACCTTTCAATTTCAGCCGTCCATCTTTCTAGAGGTCTACCTCTTTTTCGCTTTCCAGTAGGGTCAGCCTGTGTAGTGACCTTTTTAGTCCATGTTTTATGTTATTTATCTTATATTCGAGTAAATAAGGTTCCATGTTACGTGAGAAAGTAATGACGTGACACTTATTCACTCAATCTATATTATCAATTACACAATCTATCAATGTCCTGTTCTAGCAATACACTATCATTCATGCTTCTTATTGGCCTTAACACCTTAAGATCATCCGCAAAAATGTAAGGCTCAGAGTTAAGAAAACAATTAACTATATTATTTATAAATATTGAAAACAAGAGTGGACCAAGGTTTGAACCTTGAGGAATACCTGATGTGACGACTAATGTTTTCGATATAGCTCCATTAACAACCACAAATGATTGGCGATCTTTTAAATAGGACGCAAGCCATAGTAAATTAGAGCCCCCAATACCAAAGTGAGACAATTTATGAAGAAGTATTTCATGATCTACCTTGTCGAATGCCTTGCTAAAGTCAGTATATATTGTATCGACTTGAATGCGTTGATCAACAAATTTCGTCAAGGTTTCGACAAAGTCGACCATGTTCGTGTTAGTGGATCTATTTTCTAAGATAAGTGGCAAACAATTGTTAGTGGACTACTCTGCATTAACTGTTTATTGATCTTTATTACCTGTCTTTCCGAAGAATGAGGCTTTTATCTTTTTCCCCACGCTTTGAAATCTCTTCACTTTAGTTGGCAGCTCCTCGGAAGAACACACCCAGACAGCAGACTGTCTCTTAGTTTCAGGATCATAACAATAAATTCAGCTTTTGTCACCCGTAAGTAAGTCGAACATAGCATTTGTGTCACATCCGTTAAATCTTTGAACCATTTCACGACACCTATATGTTATCTTCAGTCGTCGCCGTAGGAGGCCCTCCCTCACGCAGATCATTGATGAGATTAGTGCGACCACGTTTAAACTCATTAAACCAGTTGTAAACAGTGGCACGAGATGGGGCTTCATAGTGAAAGGCCAATTGAAGTCTATCATAACTTTCTTGTTGATTTAAATGACATCGAAAGTCATAAAAAATCATTGTACAAAATTTTCTCTCCTTAAATTCATGCTGACGTGACACATTTGATTCTTTAAAACATTTTCGTAAGCAGATCAGGGACTTTATCACAAAAAAGTATCACAAAGTTATAACTGTTGGAGAACCTAATAAAAAATATGTGTCAAAAGGTAGATAGTCATTATTGATTGTAATGATAATGTAATTTTATTAAAATATATTTTTATTAATTATTTATAATTTTGTTACTAATTTTGAAATTATTTAGTGAAATTAATAATTAATGACACGTATTTTAATTTTGGTAAGGAAATAAATGGCTTTATAATATATTATTTTAATTATGTTATTGTTCACAAAATATTGTTTAAATATGACATTTTCAAATTAATTACCCTGGGAAGTAAATTTAACTAGAAGATTGTATCATTTGCAAAAAATACCTAAATAATAAAGTAAGAAGCCACAACATTTTAACACATCCCATTGTATTGTTTACTGTTACTGTTACATCATATTCCAAAGTCTACTATTGAATATATGTCTCCTCTATACATTGCATCTTAGTATTACACATTTAAATATAACTAGTTTTTACGGATTTTATCGCGTATATTAACTTATTTTATATTCTCGACATTTCGAACACCCATGGTAACGGCGGGGACAGGTGTTTGACGTCCAAATGTCATAGTTAACTAAAATAAAGTGAATAAGTTAACGGCTACCTCCAGATAAAAATTATTAATTTTTGTTCTGATTTACGCAGAATAAGCCTACGGTATCCTGAAGTCTTGCAGTGGTATGCTTGAATTTTAATTTTTTTGAATTATGGGATCCCAAGAATATGGTAGTACCCATACATCTTCTCTATTGAAATTAGGTTTTTTTTTTAAATTTCAATAGACCACATTCACAATCGACTTGTACACTCCTGTATCTTATAAAGTAATATTACACTTGACGGATAGTGAGAACTGACTAATCTCCTTCGGAAGCTTGTAGTATGTTCTTATGGAAGCTCGCTTCAAGATGTGGCAAATCTCATCTGTGACTCCTTTCACATATGTACAGCAGGCACACGTTCGACTGTGGCATGTTTTTTTCCAAATTTATTCCATAGTTTGTATATTTATTATTATATAAGGTTCTTTATTACAGATATTTATTTTATAGAT